TTGAATTTTCAAGGTGAATGTTCCAGTGAAGCACTCCACTATCACCTTGAAATATTTCATTAGGACTATGTGTATGTGACAATGTCCTCACAGTTTAGAATCAGTTTAACAACAGCCAATCATATTACTTCTTTCTTCAACGCGCTTGGCCAAGCTATCAAAATCTTCGAGGCGGAGCTAAGTCACTAAACGCTCCACGTTGCTATTTAAGACGCGCACCACTCTACCATGTATTTCTATGGACTCTGTGCGAACTGCTGTGCACTGATCAAAAAGCTAGTGAAAATAGCTAAAATCGAGAAAACAGCACAAACTGAACTTTGAAGAAATCCAACCAAATTTAAATATGTTGCATATGTCGGGGGTGACAACAACCATCCCAAAATACCGTTTTCTGAGAATTTATTGGCCTTTGTTTCACCATGATGGTTGCCAGGCGGTGAAAATGCCTGACCCGAGAATAAATGTCGCTGAGCACAGCTAAAGCTGTGTTGGCTTGGATGTCCGAGTCGAGGCGATACAGCGACAATATCCATACATCATGCAACTCACTGATATTCAGACCAAAGCTATTCAAGCTTTACTTAATAATAGTGGTAATAGTGTTGTCACCACTGTTGACTATTATAGAAGAGTAGGTGTTATACCCCAAAGCTCGTGATATCACTGCAACACATATCGGCAGTAATGAAGCCGAAAAACATCAGAAATGCAGAGCTCCGAGCGCTTTCTGGCAGTCTTTGTAACAAAGCTTTCTATTGGTTGGTAAACTTTCTATCGCGCAACCACGTGACATACACAATTATGAATGGTATTACCGCACGGTGTTGGAGAGGGAGGAATATCCGAACGGAACAACACCGTGCAGGCGGACGATGGGAATACCACAGCAGCAATCACTATCAACACCATATACCATATGGGGCACACACACACACACAGTCACATCACTCATCCATGACACCAACAATACCGTATATTAAGTTGAACTTATTACGTCAGATTTATTAAGCATACTGATCTCTCAAGCCATTAAATGAATAACATCAGTTTACAAGAGCAAAAAAATGCAGTATTGATACCCACTATAAATAGTACTGACATTCAAGTCCTATCGCAACACAGAATATTAATGCACTAACCTTATTAACATATGTGGTAACTGACTAACTCTATCAACAGTTCAGTATTAATGCAACTGTTGAGAAATATTAATACATTAACCTTATTAACCTAACATGTCACTGACTAAATTTAAAGCATATTATTTGAAGTAAATAAAATCAATGACTGGATATTTTGTCACAATGTTTACAAATTATTTCACCTCAAATAACTTGATAACTACTCCACCATTACTGAAAAGAGCAATACCACTTATCTAAACTTTACAAGTAATAAAGCAATGATAACCAAACACCCTTATATAAATTTAGTAGGAAATGGTTTGTGTTCATGTGCCACGTTAGGTTCAAATCCAAAGTCAGTCTTCTAGTTCGATGGAGATAAATTTCAGTAATTTTAACAACAGGTCGAAAAATATATATAGAAATCCACAACATTATTTGTGGGAACGCAAGTTTGTACGTGACGTATATGACCGCCTACCACTGACACCCATGACCGTTGTCACAGCAACGACCTTTATAGTCGTTCGGGTGACCTACACAGGCAAAACTTATGGCCTCATGGAATCAATAACAATTACCCAAAATACAAACAAAAATTAATACTGCCAACCCACACATGTGACCACAGTAAACGTGTTACCTTTATGAGCGCTCCATGACCAAATCTTACAATTGCAAAAACACGTGGATAACTTCGATAAGGAACGTATTTTTCACTAAATTGTCACACAAAAGTTATTTCTATAACGGAAACGAAGCTGGATAAAAGTCTCGACGAAATCCAATCACAGTGAAGTATTACGATCGATAATAACCAGACACGATTTACAATCTTACCCGCTAATCCATGGGCAATGGTGACTGTAACAGTTACACAGGAATGATGCACTCATGCAGCGAAACCCGGGCGCGAAACCCTCACTAGACTCTGGTCTATACGAAACTTGATAGTTGATCGAAGTCAGGTCCTCGGTAGGTTATCTGCAAACACCGTATTGTTATTATATCATAACTGGGTAGATTTTATGTCAACAATATCTTCACTTCGGAACGGTGACGAGCTAGGTCTTCTTTTTATGATCGACAGCTTTCAGCGATGATCTGGGGGGGGGGGTGATGATAGGCAAATGAGGATTACGCCACCACAGTTCAACATCAACAGTTCTTTCGTTTTTTATTCCAACTCGGGGGGCGGAGCTACGTCACAAGACTCATAGTTGCTGTCGACGCACGCAGTACGTGTTCACTATAATTAGACATAGTCTTTACCTTGCCGTTTATTCGGTGTTATTTGCTTACTTTACTTCCTATGTCGACAGCAACTATGAGTTTAAAATTATTTCTCAGTACTTATTCACTGTTACAATGCTGTACCATTACTTTCACCATCCTACTACAGCCAGATCTGGCCACGCTGTGTGGCGCGGATCGCGTGGACGGGTTTCATGTTCTCTGCACGTAATAAGCTCGGTTATTAAGCATAAACGGCCGTTTATTCCAAGGTAAAGACTATGTCTAATTATAGTAAACACGTACTGCGTGCGTGACTCGAACCGGCGCTTGCGTACGGCACCTAATCGCCTAGCTTCACGCCACTACACGTCTTCCCCTCGGCCACCGGGCATCCCCAAAAAAGTAATAGTAGTTTATAAATAAATAAACGCTGCTCGGACTGATAAGTATGATATATTGAAGATAATATTTGGTAATCGTAGTCCTAAATAACTATTAAAAATAGCTAGACGTTTCGAGCAATGGCTCTTTATCGATAGCATAGAAGCAAGTGTGATAACGTACAGGTAGAACATAGGAACGTAAGAACGCGCATGAACTATAAGTTAGAATCACAAAAAATTCCACAATAGAACAAATAACGCGCCTTAGGTAGTGAGCTCAACAAATGAGTTGAACTGTTTGTTAATACCACGGGGTTCTTTAGTACCAAGGCGGAATATAGTTTCCTCCTCGACAGCCTGAGCTGATTTTCGTTGCCATTGACAACACATACACCAGAAATAGACATATCAGTAATATTATGTCCACTAGAATTAAAATGAAGTGAAACCGGATAATAACGATTTTTCTGTCTAGTTTGCCGTAGATGCTCAGCAAACCGATCACCCAGTCGACAAACTGCAATTTGGAAGCCTGATTATATAAATTTTGCATATGTCTCCAATACTCTCAGCACATAGGAATTCTTTATAAACTTCTTTGATTTACCTTGTCTTTATCATCATAGATGAAAGACAAGGTATATGAGGAGTAAAACTGTCCTCGTTGTTGTAGTAGTCATTATTAACTCTTAAAATACAGTAATGTAGTATTATTAGAAGAACAGGTTGGCTATATTTTTCTTGCCAATTTTTGCTTAGATAATTTGCTGTACCAGGGTACTTATATTTTTTAGGAAATTCCCGTTATTTTATTCTTTGAGACCATTGAAAATAATGTAGTACATGATGTATTAAAAATTGATGGAAAAAAAGTCTAGCTCGTAATTAAGTGTAGAAAAAAAATATTGGTGCATGTTGTACGTTCTCCCATCACGTTGTTAACCCTTGATTACAT